AGAGAGAAAGGAAGAGAAAGGAAGGAAGGGAAATCAAATTAGATAAAGAAGAAAAGAAAAGGGAAGAAAAGGGAAGGGGAAAGAGGGAGAGAAGGAGGAAAGAGAGAGAGAGAAAGGAAGAGAAAGGAAGGAAGGGAAATCAAATTAGATAAAGAAGAAAAGAAAAGGGAAGAAAAGGGAAGGGGAAAGAGGGAGAGAAGGAGGAAAGAGAGAGAGAGAAAGGAAGAGAAAGGAAGGAAGGGAAATCAAATTAGATAAAGAAGAAAAGAAAAGGGAAGAAAAGGGAAGGGGAAAGAGGGAGAGAAGGAGGAAAGAGAGAGAGAGAAAGGAAGAGAAAGGAAGGAAGGGAACAAGTTAGATAAAGAAGAAAAAAGGGGGAAGAAAAGGGAAGGGGAAAGAGGGAAGGAGGAAAGAGAGAGAAAGGAAGGAAAGAAAGAGACAGAAAAGCAGGGAGGGAGGGAGGAAGGCCCAATCAGGTGAGATGAAGGAAAGAAAAAAGGGAAGGGAAAGGAAGGGAAGGGGGGGGAAAGGGAAGGAATGAAGGGAGGAAGTGAGGAAGGGAGAGAGAGAGAGAGAAAAAGACAAACCAAGTTAGATACAGGAGGGAAGGGAAAAAGGGAAAGGAAGGGAAGGGAAAAATGACAGAAAAAAGGAAGAACAGAAAGACAGAAAGAATGATAGATGAAAGAAAGAAGGAAGGGAAGGAAGGAGAAAGAAAGAAAAGAGGGAGAGAGGAAGGAAAGCCTTGCCGCAGCCGTGTCCCCTTCTAGTTCCTGTCCTCCTCTCTGCGCCATTCCCACCAGTCAGAGGGTGGACCCTCCGCCCCATCTCATGGTGGGAAAGATGTGACCCACCACAGGCACCCCTAATCGTCATTTAACGACCCCATAATCCCTTGCAGGGCGGCATCTCGGCAACCGAACGGAGCTAGCAGAGGGTTTTTACTGGCCGGATGACATCCCTGTTGCCAGAGGGGAGTTTTGTGCCGCAGATATATTCTCAGTGACGCTTACCTCTTCGTAAGGGTTTTGCTTGTTTCCTGGGGGCGCAAAGCGCCCATGGGTCTGGTACGTGGGATACTCGTTCATGGGGTGGTACAAATCCCGGCTACTCAGCACATCCATGTTCCCCCGACGCTTCCGTCGAATGTAGTAGACAAGCTGCGACAGAGCGGAGGAGGAAAACGTTAATGAGGGGACCACGAATGGCCTGGACTTTCTGAAAATAACTACGAGTAGTCCTGGACTTACAACAGTTCGTTTAGCGACTGTTCAAAATCGCAACGACACTGGGGGGGGGGGAAAGCGACTTATGACCTGTTTTTCACAGTTACGACCTTCGCGGCGGCTTTGCCCTGATCAAAATTCGGAGGCTGGGAGGCCGATTCATATTTACAGCGCCCTGTTTTGCCACCTTCCGACAAGCCGAGTAAACGAGGAAGCCGGATTGACTTAACGACCGAGCGGCGAACTTATCCGCTGCCGTGATTCACTTAACGGCGGCGGCAAGAAAGGCCGTAAGATGGGACGAAGCTCACTTAGCAAATACCTCGCTTAACCGCAGGCATGATGGGCTCGATTGTAAGGCAGGCCTCGACTTAACGAACTGTTCATTTAGTGACAAACGCACAGATTTAGGAATGTTTTTCACACTTATGACCACTGCAGGTAACCCCCCCCACTCCCTCAAAACGGGGACTCACCAGCCACAAAAGACCGAGGATCAGGAAAAATACGAGGATGCTGACAAGGACGAGAAGAGCGATGGCCCAGCCTGGGACCCCCTCCGAGGGCGGAGGGAAGGGGTCAGTTCTCACTGCAAAGAAGAAAGGAAGGGGGGGGGGAATCAGTTTTGCCTGGAAATCGTGAAGGAAGACGACGAGAAAAACAAGAGTTATGGTTCCTAGCGTCTTGTTTTTGGGGGGCAATCCGATGATCTCCAGAAGTTGTGAATGCTTCAACACTGGAGGCTTTTAAGAAGGGATTGGACCCACCATTTGTCTGAAGTGGACTTGATGACCTCCAAGGTCCCTTCTAACTCTGTTATTCTATTCTATTCTATTCTATTCTCCTCTTCTCTATTCCATTCTACCCTACCCTACTCTATTCTCTATTCCATTCAGTTCTCTCTTCTCTTCTCTATTCTCTATTCTCTATTCCATTCTGATCTATCTTCTCTTTTCTTTATTCTTTATTCCTATTCTATTCTCTATTCCATTTTATTCTTTATTCCTATTCTATTCCATTCCATTCTATTCCTCTATTCTATACTATTCTATTCTATTCTCTATTCCATTCCATTCTTTATTCTATTCCATTCCATTCCATTCCATTCCTCTATTCTATTCTATTCTATTCCATTCCATTCCATTCCTCTATTCTATTCTATTCTATTCCATTCCATTCCATTCCTCTATTCTATTCTATTCCATTCCT